ACATTTCGGCAAAGTGCAGTTCTTGGTTTGGCGCAAAGCGTCGCAAGAGATGCAGCGCGTCGAGAACGAGTCGGGCGCCGACCTTGGCGTCGGATGCCATCGTTGTCGGGTACTTGTCAATGTCGCGCGCATGCGGCCACAAAGACGCGTTGGCCAAGGCGTGCACCGAGGCGTCAATGTAGGCAATGACGAGGTCGCCCACGGCCGGCACCGAGTCCTCCGGCATCGTCGTGAGAGCCGGTAGCAAAGCAAGTCCACAGAGCTTTGCGCACGTGCCAAAGAGCGCTGCATCGAGTCGATGTGCATGGCTGGCCACTGCAAACACTGCTAGCACAACGTCAAGGTCGCTGAATATGACGTCGTGAGGTATATAGCTTTGTAGCACCTCGGCAAGACTATCGACGACAGCGAGCGGTAAATTTATGGCAGGCTGACAGCGCAAGGCCGTGGTGAGACCGACGGCGACAGCCTCGAGCGGATCAAAGGCATCAGGCGACAAGAGAAAGCCCGAAACCGGCAGCGGCGCATAGAGGTAGGCGTCAACAGCGGCAACGACCATCGGTGGCAACCACCGGCTCAAGAAGCTTGCCTTTTCAAGTGGTGGTACCGTCGTCTTGACGTAGTGCTCGAGCAAAATGAGACCTTGAACAACCGCTGGACCGCGACGTACACCAAACTCGTCCGTGAAGAGCTGGGGGGTTCGAAGCACGGCGTCATAGCATCGCTTGAAGAGCTCGGCTTCAAACGGCTGCTGCAACGGTCGACACACTGGCGCTTCCGTGTCGAGGCCGGCCAAGCTTATGAGTAGCTGCACGGTGGCATCCGGGTGCGTCTTGATCCAGCGCTGAACGAGGCCAAACATCGCATCCAGCAGCGGCTCCCAGCCGAACGTGGTCAAGAGGCTGTAGACAACAGGTGCGACCTCGGCGACCGACACGTGTTGGTCCTGGAGCGTGACAACGTCGCGGAGATAAAGGGTGGCAAGGGCGACGTCGTTGAGCGCCATCAAGATACGCTGCATGGACGGCAGGTGCCGCGCAAAGCGCAGAGGTACCGTCGTTGCACTATCGTGAGGCAGCGAATGCGATCCGACGATCGCGGGGCCGTGGACATCGAACGCCGGCAAGGTCCCAAACACTAGATCGTGCGTAGATGCGAGACTGAGATACGTGCTGTCGTCATCCCGCTGCTGGGCTAAGCCGCGTCTCTAGAAAGCTAAAGACGCCGCCGAGATCGACAAGACACACGCGGTGGGGCTTGGACCAAAGTACGATTGCGCGCTTATACGCAAGGTGCTTGTACGGCGGCATGTGCAAGAAGGCTTGGGGCGACTGGCCGATCCAGGCCGCCACGACTGCGTCTGGCATCTCGCACGCAGGGTGCGGCAGTAGCGAGATGACTTTGCTCTCAGGGCCGTCGAGCTCAGCGAGTCCGACGTCATAGGCACCCGAGGCGACAAGTGCTGCAAATGAACGCTTGATTCCACTTGCCAAGCGACGCAAACGAGAGCGGCTCGTTAGAGGCGGAGAGAGCCCGCCCGAGCCGCTGAAATGGCTCTGTCATCGATCGGCTGAGCGCCTGGAAGGCAGCAACAGCCGCGTCGGGCGCCGGCGGCACGAGCACCGTGGGCCCGTTGACATCGGCATGGTACAGCCGGTAGACGAGCGCAGTATGGCGGCCACTCGTGATCCGCGCCGACGTGATGGTCGTCGATAGCAAAGCAGCTGCGTACACCGCCATGCCGCAAGCGCTGACCGTTTGCGGCATTTCGCCGCGGGCAAAGGTGAGGTCACCACCGCTGTATGAGGACGGCAACAGCACGATGAGGAGGCCAAAGAAGGCTGCGTTGACATTGTTGTCGGCGCTAGGGCGCAAGCGAAAGGCGCTGGCGTCGCCGACGTCGTCAATGACCATGTGCGAGAGCTCGGTCGCGACGTGGGTTGACAATGGCACCCAACACGGGATTAGCGCCTCCTACATATCGTCGTTCGCTGTGTCGAACGAGTCCATGCAGCGCGGGCCCAAGTCCATGTCGACGGACGGAACGGTCTTGTCAGGGTACAGCGCGCTTATCTGCGCGGCGTCGTGAGCGCAGAGCGGCCATGAGAGCGGCGCGTCGAGGCCTCGAACGTTAAAGCGGATACGCGCCGGGCGTGGAGCCGGGCCCGCAACGACAAACGTACCGGGCACTGGAAGCTGTGCAAAGGTGGCTTCGTAGCCCGCAGTGTGAACGTAGCGCTCGCCCTTGCGCGGGCTCTCAGGCATGTGCAGCATCAGCATCGTTTTCACACTGAGGTAAAACGAATGAACCAGTACTTTGCTATTTTTGCCTCTTACTAACTAGAGATGAGAGGGACAAGAACCGGGTCAATGGCAGTCGCGAGTGGGCGCTGGTCGATGCTAATGGCGCCTGATCTGGAGTACCAGAATATCTCGGTCGTGTACCTTCGCTTCGTCCCCAGGCTGGTCAACGCAAGCTCGAATCAGAGCGTGCCAGCACAGCCGCTTTCTCCGGATAACCGATGTCGATGTATCCGGATTGGTCGGTTGACGCGTCCATTTTTCGATATTCGCCGAGCATGATCCTGAACGAGCTCCTCTTCGGGCTGCTCTGCGTCGAGGCCGTCGTCTGCCTCTTCCTCTGCCTCCCCTTCTTCAAGCACATGACGCAGGCCACCGTGGCCTTCCTCTCGACCAACGTCTTCCCGCCCAACTCGGGCGCGGCCATGGTCGGGTACGTCGCCGCAGCTTGCCACCTCGGGCGCTAAGCTCACACCACCGTAGGAACATTGTCTTGGCCGTTGTCGGGCTTCTCTTTCTCGGTACGGAGCCACGCCTATCGTGGGCCATGACTCATGATGCGTGTAGCCAACGTGCAGACGTCACTCAAGTACCGCAACTCGGACGAGGTGCTCTCGGATGGACTGCGCATCCGCCTGCTCGTGGCCCAGCGCGATATGTACATTTCGGGCTTTTGCCTCTTCCTCTTTGCGCTCCTCCGCCTTGTGTACTCGAGCATGGTGACCAACATCTCGCTCGAGAAAAAGTACGAGGCCATGGAGAAGCAGGCGAAGAACGCGTCGTCGGGCTACTCGAAGCTCATTGACGAGCACGATACGCTCCAGAAGCAGCTCAAGAAACTCTCGGGCTTTGAAGCCGACGGGAAGGGCCTTGAAGCGCTCTTGGCCGAGAACGCGGCACTCGAGAAGGAGGTGGGAACCCTCACGAAGAGCCTCGCGACGGCCGAAACCACGGTCGGGAACGTCAAGAAGCAGGCAGAGAACCAGAGCACTGCGTACATGAAGCTGCTCGACGACTCGGCGGCCAAAGACGCCAAGGTTGACGAACTCAAGGCTGCGCAAAAGTCGATCGTCGATCTCAAGGCGACGGTCGCCGAGCTCACAAAGGAGCGCGACTCGCTCAAGACGCAGATCCAAGACTATGACTTTATGTTTGCGGACGCCAAGAAGAAGGCCTTGTAAGCATACATGTAGCGCTAATGCATGCAGTCCTGCGTCCCTTCTGGAGGTACACCGAAGGAGGCATTGGATGATGCAAACGATGATGCGCCAGAACACAACCAACACCCGCGGCGCCAGAAGCCGGCGACCCCTTCGTGTCATCGCAAACGAGGTCGTTGCAGGCGAATGCTCGCAAGCGCCCAAGCCGACGATGGGCTCGGCCATCGCATGCCAGCGCACGTGCAGCGCTATATATGCTCAACACGTGCACAGCGCCTTGGAGCTATACAAGCGCAGACATTGCGTTCCAGCAACAACGGCCTCGGCAGTGTTGCTCGTCTTAAGCCTCGCACACCATCCATGGCGGTGGCGATGCATCGATCGAGATGGTACCCGTCCTTGCGCTGCCTCGCGTCTGACCGCAGACGCTCGATCGCCATGCTCTCCACATGTCTCTTCATCGTATATCATCCTCGGCGTCGTCGGTAGTGCCATCATCATCGTCGCATCCTTGTCAGCCTACGCGTCGACCTCATGGCGATCGTCAATGTCGATGGGCGGTTGACGCAAAAATGGCGGCCACGTGTCCATGGCCGCCTTTCTAGTGCGTGTGTTTTTTTACGTTGCATACAAACTCCTATATCATAATAAAATAAGAATCCAGTTCTGAGCGCATGTAGCAATAAAAATTGCATTGCATTTTTATTTTGACCGAAGATGAAGTCGATCTGGGCGACGACGCTCCTCCTCGCGGCCGCGGCCTACGGCGCGCTGCTCCCGACGCTGAGCTTTGAGAAGCCGTTCGACGCGATCAGCGCCGACGGTGTCCGCGAAATCTCGGACGACTTTTCTTTCGGCGGCCACGCGCAGGTGAACCGCCACTTTGTGCGCTTGACGACCGACCGCCAGAGCAAGCGCGGCCATGTCTGGAGCAAGAACACGATCGGGTCGGCGCAGCTCTCGAAGCCCGAGTTCTCGATCATCTTGACGTTCCGCATCAGCGGCCAGGCCGAGCGCTGGTACGGCGACGGCATTGGCCTCTGGGTCACGACCGAGCCGCGCCACACGGACGGCGCCAACCACGGCTTTACTGACAAGTTTACGGGCTTTGGCATCGTCGTCGACACGTTTGTCAACACTGAGCAGCGCGGTGGCCACAAGGACGTCATGTTCCTCACGAACGACGGCACGAAAAACGTCGACGACCTCCTCCACGGCGAGAAGCGTGGCTGCGATGCCAAGGGCCTCCGCTACCACGAGCGCAACGCCAACTTTTCGCCGTCGCTGAGCATGTCCCGCATGAAGGTGCAGTTCTCCAACAACCGCGTCACGATCCAGCTCGACCCGACCGACAGCGGCGTGTGGTCGCCGCCGTGCCACACGGAGATGGTCGACTTGCCGGCCAACTGGTTCACGCAGGCGACGATCGGCGTCACGGCCTCGACCGGATCGCTCGCCGATACGCACGACATCATTGGCCTCCAGGTCTACGAGTACGTTGCACTTCGTTCGTTGCGCTTGGATGCTCACGTCTACTTGTAGTCACAACGACGACCAGGAGATTGCGGCCAAGGACGCCAAGATCTTTGAGGACCGTCTGCGTACGTCTACCTTCTACCTCCTTGATTCGATGTTCATGGTCTGCGTGTAGCGGCGGCGTCGATGGACGACTTGCAGGACATTACGCAGGTCAACGACATCAAGGTGCAGCGCCTCCAGAAGCAGTACAACCGCATGATTGAAGATTTCGAGCACGAGTTTGCCTGTACGCTTCTGGCTTTTACGTACTACTCGGCATGCTAATGTGTGTGTGATTAGCCTTGAAGGAAGAGACGGCCAACACGATCGCCAAGCTCCGCAAGCAGGAGGAAGACGACTCGAAGCGCATTGCCGAGCTCGAAGCGTGGGTCAATGGCCGCGTCAACGAAAAGGTCGACACGAAGGTCAAGGAGATTGAAGCGACTGTCGACAACAAGCTCGACGAAAAGCTCGCGACCGCCGGCTCGACCGGCTGGAAGACGCCGTTCTTCCTCCTCATTCTCGCGCTCGCCGGCGCCGCGGCCTTTGGCTATAAGAAGTACCAAGAGCTCCGCAAGTCGCACTTGCTGTAAGCGTAGCGACGTAGAGCTAGCCTTGAATACATGACTGATACATTGCTGGGCTGTTGGCCTCTGTGCTTCCGAGGATGCAAGCCGACGTGGCACCGCCGTTAGTGCGGTGGCATTTATCCAATACGTCTCAATGCACTGGTCATATCTCGCGAGCGTCGTAATGCGTGTCCGACTCGGCTAATGAACCATAAACGTTGCAGCGTTACAATATTTGGCTCACGGACGAAAGGAAAAAAGAGAAAAAAGAGGGAAGGAAGCAGCGATAACGCAAGGAAAGCAGCGTACCTGTCCATGGTGTCCACTCGAAGACAACAGACGTCCGTGCTCCGGTCTGGGCTTCCAGGAAGTGCTCCTTCGAAGAATTAGACTTGATGTTTGTATTGAAGGTGCCATACTTGAGCCAAAAAACGATTTATGGTCGACGCGACTAGCATTTTGACCAATCAAATGCATTTTGAATGCTAATTGGCTCCGTTACGTAGTTCCGTCGATTGGATTGGCCCCGATAGATAAAAAGAATATAGAGCACTTTGTATCCCGCTGGCAAAGCCCATGGACGGCCAGGAAGCTCCGACACCCACCTCGCCCGCGCCCACCTCGCCCGCACCGACCTCGACCTCGCCGACCACGCCGACCTCGCCGGCGCCCACCTCGCCCGCGCCGACCTTGCCTGTGCCCACCTTGCCCGCGCCCACCTCGACCGCCCACTTTGCCCGCGCCCACCAAGCCCGCGCCGACCTCGACCGCGCCGACCTCGCATGCGCCTACCGAGCCCGCGCCCACCAAGTCAACTCATCGGCGCCGGCAGATCCGTCCAAACCGCCCGGATCCGTCGACTTGTGAAGCCCATCGCAACCGTGCAACGACGCGCGAAGTTGAAGTTGCCGCGCCATCGCCAAAGCCTCCAGCAGAGGAGCGGGCAAAGCGCGCGCGCCGACAGCGGCAGTGCCCGAGCTGCAAGAAGCCAACCGACCATCACCCGCGGGACCCTTCCAAGCTTGCCGAAGCATGCGAAGTCGGTTTTTACGCAAGACACCTACGCGCCCTGCACAAGCATCGCCGCGCGTGTGATCGCCGCACGTGTGATGCGTCGTGCGCCCACGTCATCATCACCAGGAAGGGTGGGCAGTCGGACCGCGAGTCCTGCGAAGAACGGTGGGCCTTGCTGTCACGCGCGCAGCAGATCCAAGCGCTCGAGGAAGCCCAGGCCTATCTAGGCGTAAATTGAATATATGTCCTGCATTGTGTGACGTTGGTGTCGCCTAGCATGCTTCCTACACAGCCCCGATTGCCGGAGCTCGCTCCTTGTAACACCCGCTGGTATCGGCGTTCGTATCGGAGCTTCCCTTAACACTATTTCCGTCGCCCAATCACCTTTGGTGATTCCTGGTATTGTTTTAGGTTTTTAGCCAATCAAACGCTGTGATAGATAAAAATTTGCAACGGGAGTCGAAGGTTCGCCTCCGACTCGAGGGACACATCAGCGTAGCTCTTCTGCGAGACGTGTTTGGAAATATGCACCTTGCGTATACATG